CTGAAGGAAAACCTCCCAGGTTCTATTCTGTATCAAAATACCTAAATTTCAATAATCCCTTATAAACAGTCAGGCAATCTCTTAGGATGGTTTATTTACCACTTGAAGTGGTATGACTAATGAAAAATAAGTTCAAAACATTAAATACTGATCTAGAACTCATTGTATAGCTTAGGCTAGACTATAATTCAAAATCCTCTTGCCTCCAAATAGCTGAGATTGCAGGCCGGCACCACTACTTCCAGCTCTTTTTATTACTGTGTTGGCTGCCCAAGCTGCTCATAAACTTCTAGGCTCAAGTGATCCATCCCTCTGCCTCAGTATCCTGAGTAACTGTTACTTAAAGATGCATACCATCACACTTGGTGAGAAATAAATTTCTTTGCTATGGCTCTGAAGTCATAGTGTATAGTCCCTAGTCTTCTACAGTTCTTCAAATTCTCAGTAGAAGTTAAGGCAGAACAAAAACTAAGTTCTTTTGAAAGTAGAAGTATAGCTCAAGTGGTAGACTTTTGTTCAAGTTAGCCTTAAGCAAAAGGCCCTGAGTTCAAGCCTCAGTACTAGTACTGGCGCGCACGCACGCACACGCACACACGCATGCACGCGCGTACACGCACACACACACACACACACACACACACACTAAATTATCTTAAACTGGATGAGGGAGATCAAGATTAGGTATTCAGAGACTGAGCTATTTGAGGCCAATCCAGGCAAAAAGGTTTACAAGACAATGTATCAATAAGGTAGGGATAATGATGTTTTCCTGTCATTCCAACTACCCAGAAAGTATAAATAGGAGAATCATGATCTAGCCCAGTCAAAAAGTGAAAATTTATTTTTTATAATAATGAGAGCAAAACAGGCCAAGGATCTGGCTCAAGTGGTAGAGTACTTGCCTAGCAAACACAAGGCCTTTGGTACTACTACCAAAATAAATAAAGAACAAGTTATTTTTTAAAGGTGGAGGCAGAGATGGACATCAATGGTTCATGTCTGAAATCTTAGCTGCATGGGATGCTAAGACCTGAGAATCATGGCTTGAGGCCAATCTGTGCAGAAAAGTCTGAGAGAGTTCCAATGAACCATCAAAAAAGCAGTTGGACTGGCAGCAAAACTCAACTGGTTGAGTGCCAGCCATAAGCAAGAAAGTAAGTGGAAGATCAAGGCCTTAAACTCAAGCCCCAGTACCATCAAAAGAAAAGAGAAAGAAAAAAGGCGGGATTAGAAGATAATTTGTTTTTGTAGACTAAAAATATAAAACAAATTTTATCAGAGTATCAAAGTTTGCTTACCCACACCTAAGCTCCATTTCCTATTTTCTTTTTTCATTTTTGGTAGGTCATGGGTCTTGGAACTCGGGGCCTGGGCACTGTCCCTGGACTTTTTTCGCTCAAGACTAGTGCTCTACCACTTTGAGCCACAGAGCCACTTCTGATTTTCTGACGTTTAAATTGGTGATAAGAGTCTCTAGGGATTTTTTTACCTGGGGAGGGGGGAAGGGGGAGCTTTGAACCTTGAGCCTCAGATCTCAGCTGCCTAAGTAGCTAGGATTACCAGCAGGAGCCACTGACACCCAGCTGTTTCCTACTATTTTTATAAAAACACTTACATGACAATTCAAAATAATATAAAATAATTTTAAACACAGACTCTTGTATCAACTAACAATGGAATCGTTAAAAGCAGAACTGCTTAATACCCACACTCATACGTCTAGATTTTTTTTTAATATTGCATATATAGGAGTCTTTAACTCTCAATTCCTACATGGAGAACAGGCAATGTTTTTATTTTCCATTTCTCCCTACTTAACCTATTTTACTAAAGTAAATACGTGCTTTAAAAAAAATCAGTATATAAATGGTATATGAAAATTTTCACTTTTACAAACTAATTGAATATATTAATTCTGTGGTATAAAACGCATAAAATGATTCTACCTCCACCTAAAGATAATACATTGTACCAGAAGATATAAAAATGTAATCAGGCATATTTTATATTAAAAATTAAATTTAGCTCTTCAAAAGACTGATAAATTCAGAGTGATTATATGGTTAATCCAGATTTAAATATTCCAAAAATTACTTCTAAGAAATATTAAAAGGTTAATACATGGTACTTACTTCAAAAATAAAAAGTATAGCATCCAACTCCTCTCTTTGAGACTTGTGACCTACAATATTTTACAAGAGAAGTATTAAATATTACCATGAAAAATCATCTAATGAGTTTCAATATTTCAAGTAGTAAAGGGTTGATTTTTATTGTCCTTTGTGTGTGTGTGTGTGTGTGTGTGTGTGTGCGCGCGCGCGCGCGCGCGCATGCGTGCGTGCGTGCTAGAGCTTGAACTCAGACACTAGGCACTGTCCCCGACCTTTTTATGCTTAAGGCTAGCACTCTACCACTGGAGCCACGGCTCCACTTCCAGCTATTTTGGTAGTTAACTAGAAGTACCAAGTTTCATGAGCTTTCTGCCCAGGCTGGCTGTGAACTGTGATCCTCAGCTCTCAGTTTCTTGAGGTAGCTAGAATTACAGATATAAACCACAGGCATCTGGCTTGTCATTATTTTAAAATAAGTAAATATAGTCTCTTTCTCCCTCTGATCTTGCCCACTTGCTCAAATGACTCTCACACTCTGGGAACTGATCAAAGGTATCTTTTTAAAAAGACATTTAGCTAGATGCTGGTAATGCACCCTTGTAATCCTAACTACTTAGGAGGCTTAGATCAGAGGATCGAGGCTTGAAGCCAGATTGGGCAGGAAGATCCATAGAAGTCTTATCTCCAATTAACCACCAAAAAGCTGTAAGTGGACTGTAGCTCAAGTAGAGCATTAGCCTTGAGCAAAACAACTCAGCTACAGCATTCATAGCCTGAGTTCAAGCCCCAAGACTGGAGAGATTTAAAAATATTTTAAAATGACTCCTTTGATCAAAGAAGTGTTTGAAAAGGAAAATTATCTTAAGGAAGGACCCCTTTCTTGAAAAGAACATCTGGCAAAGTCCATCTTTTAAAGAGATGCCCAAGGAGAAACAGACATTTTGTAAATTGACCAAATTTCTAGGCCCAATTGATAATTCCAAAACGGTGTAACCAGCCAGAGTGGGAGACTCACTCCTATAATCCTCACTACCTAGGAAGCTGAGACCTGAGGATCACAAGTTTGAAGTCAGCCCAAGTAGACAAATCCAAAAGATTCTTGTCTCCAATTAACAAGCAGAAAGCCAGAGCTGGAGGTATGGCTTAAATGGCCAACTGTGAGTGAAAAAGCTGAGCAAGAGGGCAAGGCTCTCAGTTGCACAATAAATAAATACATATGTGCATACATATACACATACATATATAGTGTAACAGCAAGAATGATCTAACGTACTAGATATTCATAACAAAGGGGCATAGCTGTCATAAAGCAAATTTAATCCAAACCCCCAATATTTTTTCCACCACAAATACACCTGATGTTGAAGCACATCTAAATGGTTTTACTATACCTACTACTGCTTTGCTTTAGTAACAAACTTTGGTCTCTACTTTCATGTATCCTAAATTCTTTTGGTGATGTCATGAGCCCAGTAACCAAGAGCCAGGTAAATAGCTCATCCCTTTTGGAGACCTCTTTGGAGCCTTACCATTTCTAGTAATATTAATACCTTAGTTTTCTTTCAAATAAGACCTACTAGTACAGTGAGAGTGATATTAAATAGCCGTCTAATGAAATAAAGTAACGACTGTCTCATGCCCAAATACCTCTGTTTAAAACTGTTTGTGGCAATTATTGGAAATATCAACATAAGCCAGAACACATGTTAACATCTTACCTTTCTGTTTAAGACTAGCTTCAATAGTTACAAAATTTTCAAAGAACACGTAGTATATATGTGAAAAATGTTGGTCAAAAAACTGCTTAAGATCAATAGATTCTGCATTCTCTGAAAAATAAAAAAAAAGTTTTAAGCAATTATCTTATAAAGGTTAAATAAATCATGGTTAATAAATATTCGTAGTGCCAAATTTCCTTTAAAGAACTACCCTTAATTTCTATCCTAATAAAACATATGGAATGTGTACTTTCATATATCTTATCTTCTTTTTTTTTTTTTT